TGTTCGTAATGAGCTGATGCAGTAAAATACCTATACCTCGGAAATGCTAGTTGATTAATGAGCAAATAAACAACTATCATACGCTGTTGGAATATAAAAAGTGATAAATAAGCAAACCAACAACAAAAGATAAATCTTATGGACCTGACTGGTACAAACCTGTGGTTTAGGTTGCTGATGAAGTTGCCAATGGTGGCGACCTCTGCACTTGATATTGTCGGCTTGGTGGTCGGAAAGTTCTGAGATGAAAGCTTTTCATTGTCTGCAACAGGCAATAAATTTTGTTATTGTCTTGTTTGTTTATTGGGGCTTAAGGGCGCGCCAACTACAAGGTCATTTTGCACCCATTACGTTATTGTCTAGCATAAAAAAGAGCATGAAGTGATAAAAACATTGACACCTCCTGTCTTGTGTTATTATCTGGACATTAGTGAAATTCAGCTTGTAACTGCAAATGGCACTTTGGTATCAAACTTCGCTAGCACATTCCTAAATGATGCCATGTGAAAATAAATCCATCTGCGATTGGAAATGAAGAGTGCACAAGCTGTGATTGCAGCAATACGTTGTAAAGACCACACAGTAATGAGCAAAGTAAGAATATTGATGGTGCATATTCTTTGGCACATCTGATCATGTCCAAATGTTCCTTCTCCCTGTTCAACTCACAGGAATCGGTGAGGCTCCGTACAGCTGAGCACACTTCGCAGACAGACTCCATTGGTGACAGCCTGCCCTACACACAAACTAGGGGGCAGCTCCTCGCCTTCAGGTAGCCTCGATGACTGCCTGCTCGCAGTCACAGTACACAGATGCTGATAACAACCAGCTGATAAAACAGATTCTTCTAACACTGACTCCCATCATCTGGCATCCCAGGCAGGGAAAGAGAAGCAGACTAGAACCAGCTCATTCTGGGCTGATTTTCCCCTGAACTGCCTGAGAGAGATGGAGCACCTGTGAAACAAGCAAACATTCAGTCAATTTAATATCATAACTAGCACTTTTAAGCAGCATCAATTTTGTGGATCTCTGGGTGCATCCATCCACCATCTGGCCTCTGTTACACATTTATTTTTATTTGTGCTGCATGACCTGTGAGTCTTAAAAAGTGTTCATGGCCTTGTGGCAGTGTGTCCTTCTATAGAATATAATTGCACATCTCTAACCCATCCATCTACAAAACACTCCTGTTTCGGTTCCTAGGACATATCAACTCCATCCTTCTAATCTCCATGTCACCAACGGCAGCCTGTCACCAACCTGAGACACCTCAGTATGAGACATCTCTCCTCAAGTCCAATTCAGAATGTTACCTTGAATGTAACATTTAGCTTGATGAATGTCTTATGTTGAGACACAACAGTCAGTGACATTGAAGAGGATAGACTTGATAGTGTCATAGGTACCAAAACAAGAATGTTTGGTATATTTGAAATGTGATGCTTTATATCTAAGCATGAAGTAACCCTGAAGTCCAAGTCTGAATCCAGGCATGTCATAGCATTACCATATTTAGGAAACAACCATTTTACAAGTACTGTGCTTTTTCTTCTTGAACAACTGGAATCACCTCAGCTGTGCACTACAGAGTGTGACACAATTTTGATCCTAATTTTAGGTGAATAAGTCATTATCAAAAAAGCAGGTAAATGTGTCAATGAAGTACTGTGAAGATATAAAACATAACCTAACGTGAATTAACCCTAGAACGCCTAGGGGGGGGGGTTGTATCAACCCCCCCCCCCCTGAGGTTTTTTCGAAGTGCACGCTAAACGGCTTGTCGTAGCGGGCTGAAATTTTCAATACCCTCTGGGGCAACCTTTGCGCATCTCTTGCCGAAAAAAAATTGATCGGGTCATGTCAGGTCACGGAGTTATGACGTCATAAGAGGTACAGCCTCCGGCCGACAGTTACCAAACGTGTGCGCCGAATCCCTAGGTTTTCTGCCGGTGATACCCACATTGTTTGATGGATCATGATGAAACTTCTTATGCATGTTGGGGCAAGCATTGGCTATCGTGTGGTGCAAGAAAATTGACCGGGTCAGGTCAGGTCACGGAGCTATGACGTCACAAGAGGAACAGCGTCCGGTACTATTTTTGAAAAGCGCCCGAACCACTATTTTGCTAATTCTTGTCACCTCAATGGGAATATGCAGCAATATTAGCTTCTATAGGGAGCAAATGGACCTCCCAAATCCAAAAATACAATCAGATTTCAAAAATTTAAATTTTGATTTTTCGAATTTCTACCGCCGACTGTGATCTTGCCGACTTCCGGCGCTCCCAACGCGCCATTTTTAGAGCTAGGGAAACGAAATACATACCAAACGATAGAGAATTGATCAAGGAACACGATAGTGAAGGTTTCAAGTCGATATCTCCCACCGTTTTGCCGCAATCGCCGCGGAAAGTTGAAAAAGTTTGATTTTTTCGGAAAATTTGACCTTTGACCGGTCATAAGTAGGTCAAATGTTGACCTAGGACCAAAAAATATACCACCAATCGCGAGATCTCGTTGAGAGCAATCCGTTGGTTTTTTCCGCTAAGCTCTACGACCTTCCGTTTCGAAACGCCAGGGGGGGTCGTAACAACCCCCCCCCCTGGTCGTTCGTGTTATGAGAAATGGCCTGGTCGTGCGAGGGTTAATCTTACCTACTGAACTACAACCAACCTACAATCTACAAACCTACAGGCTACAACCTACCAACCAAAGACCTACAACCTACCAACCTAGGACCTATAACCTAAAACTTACCACCTACCAACCTACAACCTACCAACTTACCAACCATACTTCATCTACATATATACCAAAAAGCATTGCTAAGATGACAGCTATGAGTTTATAACTAATGAATCAAGTACAAAGTAATGACTTATAAATGGCCAAATAAATGTCTTCTTACCACCAAAGTTCCTGTATTTCAGGAACCTGGGATTATTTATGCTACATAATCTTTGTTAACCCTCGCATGTGTAGGGGGGGGGGTCGGATGGACCCCCCCCCATGGTTTTTCGCGAATAACTCGCGTAAAAAGCGGCCGATCGCGACGAAACTTTCAGTACCCTCGCATTGATCAATTTTACACCTACCCTGAAAATTTCATGACCCTGACCCAAATGACCTTTGACCTGTGACCTCTTTTCTGAGACCATGTTTGGCCGAAATCGCGATTTAGCGTATGTCGGCTCGCACTAGCCGCGTGTTTGCAAGCTTCTCGTGGTTTCAAACGTTCAAACATGTGATTTGATGTTACTCCCGTGTGTGTCAAGGTCACCTGAAGGTCAGGTCAGGTCATTGACCTTTGGTGACCTCGGGTGACCTCGGGTCACTTTTTCGAGTTTTACATGTTTCTAGGCTAGTTTTTGGAGCTGAATTCGAATTTAGCAACCATTTGAACATTTACGAAGTAGTTTTGGTGACTTCGTAACATGTTACGAAGCTGTCAGAGGCGGTTGACACGTACTACGAATACCCGTCACGACGCCTACTGGTTGACCTGACCTGACCTGACCCGACCTGGTCTAAATGCTTCAAGACATCATCTGTGATCAAAACTAACACGATATTCGTGATCAGCACCCCGAAAAACCCCTTAGCAGCCACACTTTACGACTTTCTAACAGGTCCCGATTTTCCCGACTTTGGGTCATTGACCTGACCTGGAAGGTCAACCAATGACCTAGGACCTTAAAATTGGGTATCATCGGCTTCCTCTCGTCACGGGCAACACGCTCGTTTTTTCCGCGAAGCTCTAGCTCGATCAGGGGCCAAACGGCAAGGGGGGGGGGTCCAACCGACCCCCCCCCCCCTACACATTAGAAGCTGGCAAACGCCGCACACATGCGAGGGTTAAAATGCCATACCTAGTCTCTGATGTGATTAAGTCAATTAGGATTTGGTAGGTACCTACCTACCCTACTTTCCTGGGCCCTGTTCGCTTGCTGTTTTTATATCGGCGTGCTGTCGGTTTTCCCCATATAAGGAAGTTATTGCTGGCGCGGCTTGGCCTCTCATTGGTCTAACGAATAGACCACTTGAACTCGACCAATGAGGAGCCAAGAAGCAGCAGCATGGTCGCAGCCTGCTGATAAATAAACGGGGTGCGAACAGAGCTCAGGTTTTGAGTGCAACTCGGCCAGCAGCCTACATAGACATTATTATGAAATCTCAATGCCCAAACCTCCCTACAATTGTGACCTGCTAGTAGTGCCCAAAACAGTAATGCCACTATCTAATGCATACAGCTAATATCGATATTGTTTTACGGCACACCCAAACGGGCCTAACGTCATGCTAGTTCAAACTTCAAAGACAAGCAAAAATGTAAAAGGTGGCAATTCATTCTGTCTACCAATAACAGTGTATAATGAACCACACAAGTGTGCATTCAATAAATTGTTAAAATAGTAGCCAAGACACCGGACCAAATCCCCAGCATCGAAGACATGCAACTGTTTTGAATCCTGATCCACCACACAAAAGAGGCAGAATGAGAACGAAGAATCAGCCGGGCCAAAAAAATACAGAATCTAAGTGTCTGCTGACCTGTTAATCAACAATCGAATTCAATAAAAGTGTCACTACTAGCAATCTCCCACGGAAAACTATCAGCACCAAACCGATCTGAAAATCACGCAATTCTAAAAATTAGATTTTGATGCACCGTGGTTACCGCTCGCATTTTTTGACACATTCGAGAAACTCTTTATATCGCACTCAGCTGATTATATGAAAATTAATTACTTGCTTCTTTGGATGCTTTAAAAATACATTTTACGGTCATTTTATCTTAGTATAATCATTTTTATAAAAGAGCGACGATCTTTAAATATCAATAATGCTTTTTCGTTATCTTTTGACCACAAAAATAAGCAGAATAGCAGTTTTTCTTTCAACTTTGGCCAAAATCAGCTGATTTAGGAAATATTTCAGTATAAAGAGACAATAACTGCGCTTTTGTTACAATGATTATGCGGCGAGTGGAGTAAAAACAGTGAAATCAAAATTGGAATTCGAGTGCAATGAGGAGAGGAAGGAGATAGAACGTGTTACTGTGCAATTATAATTGTTTGTGTTAAAGTTTATAGGTAATAGGCATTGCTTGTGTGCTTGTGTCACTGTCATGTTCCGGTGATTGGCCTGGATGTTCATTGTTCGGCGGGCTAATTGAAAGTCGACTGGACTTGGACTGGTTTGGGTTCCCAATCCAATCCTGTTTTCTGCCAGCTGCTCTCATTGCAAATAATGTTTTACATATTTCAACTCGTTGATGAACAACAATCATGAGGCATTTTTGAACTAGTCCTAACTGGAATGTAGGCTGGCAACAAGTTAATTCAATATTTTGGCACATGTACATGTAAACCCAAAATGAATAGGTGCTGCAACATACCGACGGGCATCGCTGTGCAAAATAATGTTCCAAAGAAACTGATTCCCAGTGTAATAGATCATCGGACTTCGGAGCGCTAAGCTGTAAACTCCAAAGGTTCTAGGGATTATCTGAAAACAACGATTAGTTCATTGTGAAATGTATTTCCATCGGAAAACGCGAACGCAATACATACAGTGCTCACACACACACAGAACATGCCAGCCGGATCGCCCAGTCGTGCTCGAAGCCGGATGGCGAACTGCCGGGGGGCAACCAGTCGGCTGATCCGGCCTCGACCGGTCACCGGACTCCGACTGCTCCGCCCCCGTCCCCGGGGCGGCTGACGTCACAGCCCGCGCGGCACGGCGCGACCTCGGCCGGGACCGCGAGAGACGAAACCGCGCCCCCTTGGCGCCGTTCAGCGCTGCATTGGAGCCGTTCAGAGCCACGTGGCAGGGCATTGCATGAGATGATCGCTGAGAAATGTACGGCTTTTGGTGTAGTGTAGTATGCCTCGGAAGTCGATCTTGGCTGACATACGACTTACGAGCATAGAAAGAGTCGATCATATGAAACGCCGCCCTATAATTACGCAATTTTCCGCCCCACCCAGATGATTCCTAGACGTTCAAACCAGGTCGGAGGGAACTGGAAGTTTTGGAGCTAAGAACGTAGAGAGGAAGTTCCCATCAAGGTGCCTTGACCTAGATTTCGCAATAGGCATCGAAGATCGGGCCATGATCAATGATCACGACCTTGCAATGTAATGGAAGTTAGCTCCCTGGACTGGAAGCTGATAGTTTCTCGCTTCCTGGAAAAATGGGAACTGGCAGAGCACCATTCATGCAGTCACTCATTCATTCATTCGTTCATTCATTCATTCATTCACTCACTCACTCGCTCACTCCATTTATTCATTTATTCATTCATTCATTTATTCATTCATTCATTCATTTTAGCGCTTCGCCATGGATTTTCTATATCGCTGATGAGTTAAACCCACTGGCCACTACCCAGGCCCCTGAAAAATGAGAAAAATGGTTGTTTGACTTGGTTTGAACCGCAATATACCGCGGAAAGCTGCTCATTCGACGCCAACATTAGGAAATGTCGCATTATTCTGATCGTGCGCTCCACCTTTCAGATGGAGGGCAACTGCGTGGATGCAAACTCAATACCGGGTGACCCGGCGACTTTTAGCTACAGTGGAAATGACTTTGTGTTCGAGGTGAACGTGAAGTCCCTCAAAGACTTCCCTGATGCGGAGCAAAGCGAATTTGACGCCCTTTTAGAGGCGAAATGGCGAGAAGCTATGAATCAGTGCTTGTTTCGTTTCGCTTATAATCCTGGAATGCCCCAAAGACGTTTGTCTGGGAAATTCGGATTCTTTTTAGAGGTGAGTCAGTGTCTCCTGTGATACCTGTTGTGTAGTTATTACGGAGCGAGCGAAGCGAGCGTAGTCTTTCCTTAGATTAACGGAAATTTCTGAGTGTGAGCGGCCGGCCGGCCGGCCGTGGTCACGATTCTACGACGCTTATATCTCAGCAACCACTTGACCGATTTACACGCGGTAATTTTTGTAGGGTAGCTACTAGCTTCATACCTTCTACCAAGTATTGTACTATTCCCGATGCATGTGGGTGACCCCTTATGCACGTGCCACGTGCAAAACGAAGAGGTGTCACTTTTGTAATTGTTGCAACTTGCAATATCTCGGTAACTACTTGGCCGATTGCGCTGAAAGTTGGCATGTAGGTAGGCACCCACTAGGCAATGCATATCCATGTGCCAGAATTGGGGTGCTGCTGCACGTGCGCACGTGCAGGGGTCGATTCCAGGTCTCGAGAACGGCTGGACCGATGGCGCTCAAATCTGGCACATGGTTAGGGACCGGTTAGTAGGGTGCCGTGCAAAAGTCAGTTGGGACCCATTTTGCACGTGCGCACGTGCAGGGTGCCGCTTCCAGATCTCGAGAACGGCTGGGCCGATTGTGCTCAAATTTGGCACATCGCTAGAGACCGGTTAGTAGGATGCCGTGCACAAGTCAGCTGGAGGTACCCCGTCGAAATTTCGCACGTGCAAGGCTCACCCTCTCGCTCGCTCCGTTAGTCGCCCCAAAAGGCGTTATACTGGTTTAATATATTTTATGCAGTAGATGTGTGGGTGTTGCATGCTCACTTTCAACAAGTAGGCAGTAGGCAAACATTTCACCTCGCTCTGGTCGGTACACTCGGGGGCAGATTGATGTTCCACCACTCCCTACCCATCGGGCGATCACATGGCTCAGCACTGGCTGCTGTCAGTGTTGCCTGCCCTCAGCACTGCTCAGCACTGCCTGCCAGTGCCAGTGCTGCCACTGGCAGCAGGGGCATTCCACGATAGATCGACCAAAGCCGTACACCCTCATATTTTATTTGTTGCTTAAAATTGGTTTAATGGGTTGTGATGGGCGGGGAAGCCAGCTGTGCCAAGGATTTTTTTCTTCGAACAACGGTTTCCGAGATATAGCCTCAGGCAATTCCTGGAGGTCACGCTGCAACCCAATGTTTGGTGGCTTATAACTCAGAAACTATTGGTTTTCTTTGGTAAAAACTTAGAATGGTTCAGCTCGCAATCAACCAACAAACATTTTGGCTATCTCGGATTTTCGATTTTTGAAAATTTGATCACGTGACATCTTGACATTTTTTTCGAAGAGTGACCTTGATATTTTCCCAACTGAAAGTCGCAATTATGTCTGATGACGATTAAAGCCTTATCAATTGTCATTCATATGCGACAATAAAAAAGTGGCTTTCGGCCTGCATTGACCTGAGATCAGGTCATTTTTGTGACCTGTCCTTTATAAGTCAATAGCAGAAATATCGGCTACCACCGAAACGCATCTGACCGATTCAAATACTTTTGAATCATGTTGAGTTAGGCTATTATTGATGGCACTGGTGCAGCTTTGTATCAGTGACCCGCTGAAAGGTCATCCGAGGTCACGCGTTGAACACTCAATAATTTTCCGTTTTTGGCTGTACCTTTTGATCTAATAAAGAAAGAGACGTAGAATAGGCACCAATGCGTTTGCTTTCGCCTAGCGCCAGTTCGTTTTGAATTTCAATACCGATGACCTAAGGTCAGGTCAATTTCTTGACCACCCCATTATAAGTCAATTGGGGAAAAATCAGCTCCCTTATTTTTACACTAAAACGCGTCGGAATTGCCTAATATACCATGAGTGACTTCATATACGACTAACTTTGACTACCTTGAGACCTTTTTTGCTTTTGGTCAACTGTGACTTTGCTCTTGGGTCATGTGACGTCATTAAAGGTCACCAAATGTTTTTTGCTAATAACTCCTTACAGGTTTGAGATACAGCCGCGCGGATAGGCTCATTGTGTTCAGCTCGTCAAGGCCCATCGAATGATATATATGATGACCTTAAGGTCACGTGACCTAAGGTCAACTTTTGACCTTGACCTTTCGGGGTCAACATACACATGCTTCGATGCGGATCGACGAGAGGATCACGATGGTGCTATTAGTTTGTTCCTAGCTGGGATACTTTGAAAGTTATTCGAGAAAAACTTCATATATATGTAGTGCCGCCATTTAGACTTTCTTTTTACCCCTGTGACGTCATCTTTGACCTGACCTGAAAATGACCTGAGTGAAAATTATAGACCTTATCCATGTGTACCCTTTGCCGTTCACCGCTTGTCGCTATCTTGCTTTGTTCTCGAGATCTCGCTGTCGCTCCCGCTCGTAATAATGGGAAGGTCATAAAAATGACCTGACCTGGGGACTGGGGTCAACGCAGGCCGAAAGCCACTTTTTCATTATCGCATATGAATGAAAATTGATAAGGCTTTAATCGTCATCAGACAAAATTGCGACTTTCAGTTGGGAAAATATCAAGGTCACTCTTCGAAAAAAGGTCAAGATGTCACGTGATCAAAATTTTTAAAAATCGAAAATCCGAGATAGCCAAAACATTTGTTGGTTGATTGCGAGCTGAACCATTTTAAGTTTTTACCAAAGAAAACCAATAGTTTCTGAGTTATAAGCCACCAAACATAGGGTTGCAGCGTTACCTCCAGGAACTGCCCGAGGCTATATCTCGGAAACCGTTGTTCGAAGAAAAAAGTCCTTGGCACAGCTGGGTTCCACGCCCATCACAACCCAATAGACCAATTTTAAGCAAAAAATAAAATATGAGGGTGTAAATTTTATTATTTTTTGGTCGATCTATCGTGGAATGCCCCAGCAGCCAGTGGCCCAGTGCTGAGTCATGGGAGCCCGATGGGTAGAGAGTGATGGAACATCAGGGGCGGATCCAAGGGGGGGGTCACATGGGTCATGGCCCCCCCCTTGAGGCCCGGGGGCCCAAAGACCTGCCAGGGGCACCACCGGCCTATCAGGGGTATCACAGTCCTGACAGGGGCACCACAGGACCGCCAGAGGCACCACAGGCCTAGCAGGGACACCACGGGCCTGGTGCCCCTGGGCCCTGACAGGACTGTAACGCCCCTGACAAGCCTGAAGTGTCCCCGGCAGGCACGTGGTGCCCCTGACAGGCCTGAGGCGCCCCTGCAAGGCCGGTGGTGCCCCTGGCAGGCCTGTGGTGTCCATGGCAGGCCTGTGGTGCCCTTGCTAAGCCTCTGGTGCCCCTGACAGGCTTGTAATGCCCCTGGAAGGACTGTGGTGCCCCTGGGCCCTGACAAGCCTGAGGTGCCCCTGACAGGCCAGTGGTGCCCTTGATAGGCCTGTGGTGCCCCTGGCAGGCCTCTGGTGCCCCTGACAGGTTTGCGGTGCCCTTGGAAGGACTGTGGTGTCCCTGGGCCCTGACAAGCCTGAGGTGCCCCTGACAGGCCCGTGGTGCCCTTGTTAGGCCTGTGGTGCCCCTGGCAGGCCTCTGGTGCCCTTGCTAGGCCGCTGGTGCCCCTGGCAGGCCTCTGGTGCCCCTGCGCCCGGAGAGGACTGGTGCCCCTGAAAAGTCTGAAGTGCCCCTCGGCAGGCCCGTGGTGCCCCTGACAGGCCCAAGGTGCCCCTGCAAGGCCGGTGGTGCCCCTGGCAGCCCTCTGGTGCCCCTGGCAGGTCTGTGGTGCCCCTGGCAGGTCTGTGGCGCCCCTGGCAGACCTGTGTTGACTGGTGCCCCTGCTAGGTCGCTGGTGCCCCTCACAGACCTGTGGTGCCCCTGGGCCTTGACAAGCCTGAGATGCCTGGCTATGACAGGCTCGTGGTGCCCCTGATAGACCAGTGGTGCCCCTGCTAGGCCGCTGGTGCCCCTCACAGGCCTGCGGTGCCCCTGGAAGGACTGTGGTGCCCCTGCCCCTAGGGGTGCTCATGGGCCCAACAGGCCCGTTGTGCCCCTGACAGGCCTGTAGTGTCCTTGCTAGGCCTGTGGTGCCCCTGCTTCCTGGCGGGCCTGTGGCGCCCCTGCTTCCTGGCGGGCCTGTGGCGCCCCTACTAGGCCATAGGTGCTCCTGACAGGTTTGTGGTGTCCCTGGAAGGACTTTGGTGCCCCTGACAAGCCTGAAGTGTCAAGGACAGACCCTTTAGACGCCAGTGTCAAGTTCGTCGGACTGACAACGATTTGCTTACCTGATAACGTTCCTGGTAAGTACTCACTACTCAGCGTCCACAACATATACATATACACATAGCACATTCATATATACTTGCTTACAATTGGTAAATGTGGTTGTGGCTTAGAGTTAAGATACTGACTAAAAATAAAAAAATAAAAAAAAAACTGAAAATGGGGGCACCACCAAAATGAAGTGGACGAAATCCGTTGAGTTTTTAATTTTGGGTATAGGTAGGGGCACCACTTCGATTCATGACCCTCCCCTTGGAGTTTTCCTGGATCCGCCCCTGTGGAACATCAATCTGCCCCCGAGTGTACCGTATTGGTCATGTGTTGGGCCTGTTTTGAGATCTGGGTCGCAGGTTGCCCCACTGTGCGCCGTGTGACTGGGCAGGTAAACGGCGAGCGCCACTCCACCCGGCGGCCGCCGCCCGCCTTCGCCAGCACTCGGCACCCGGTCGACCCGAGCCGGTTCCACTTCGGGCGCGCGCCGGTCGCTGAGCGCCTGTTCCGACTCTCCGCTCCCGAGGACCAGCAGGACGGACCAAACGGCCAGCAAAATAGACCAACGGACCAGCAGAATGGGCCAGCGGACCGGGAGAATGTGCCAGTGGACCAGCAGAATGGACCAGCGGACCACTGTGCGCCGGCTGACGGCGGGGACGACTGGGTGATGATTAACGTCAGTCCGATCGGCCGCAGTCACGTGCTGTTGTTACCGCGGCTCTTACAGCTCCGTCCGCAGCGTCTGGAGCCGCGGGGGCTGCAGATGATGCTGCACTGCTTGCTGCTCAGCCGAGACAGGTGAGATCAAGGCCCTAAGGTGAGATATAGCGGAGAGATCGGGGAGACAAACCGGTGCACTGCGGGCTCGCATGCATCGTTTGGTTCGTTGTTCGAAAGGAAATACTAAGGCTAGGCATAAAGCAATTAAAGCATGATTCATGTTCGCAAGAAATATATATATACCAAACTGGACTTAGCATAAGAGAAAAATGCAGACCCGAAAAGTGCGAATAATAACGTTTCACATATTGTTACCATACTGCTCAGATTTAAGAGCTGCTCTACCGTTGTGAGAATAGCTTTGTAGTTAGCGAACTAGCTTGTAGCTTACGTCTGTTACCGCAGCTTATACTTACATGTAGAGTAGCTACTTCGTAGCATGTGCTCAAGCACCTAACGTAGGGAACCTTGTACCGTGAAATTCGGTCTATAATAGATATGTCCGACGTCTTCGTTTGGTGCAGTCTCACCTGGTGTGTGGCCGTCGGCTGTTTCAGCGGTTTGCGAGGCATGTTCAACAGTCTGGGCGCGCTGGCTTCCGTTAACCACTACCACCTGCATCTGTACCGACTACCTCAGACTCTCTACGTCGAAACGGCCGTGCGTATCAGTGTATAGCGTCACGATGTGAATTATAAATTGGGAATGGTGTGAATAAACGTCGTCCGTAGTGCTCGTGAGCTTATCTCTTTCCCAACAGTTTTCGATCGGAACATTTCCGAGGACTCGTTTCGTTTTGCCTTATTTCCTATAGGGCGTAAAGCCGAAAGATATAACTCGTCGATGTTCTACATATTTTACGTTTACGTGGTGTTGTTGATGACTACAGGAATTTGTTTTTGTTTGCAGGACGTACGAAAAGTGGTCGATGAGCTCTACGAGTTCACGGACTACCCAGCCCGAGCGTTTGTGTTTGAGGTCAACTCAACTAATTTGAGCTCAGTCGCCAGGTATGTTCCGTTCGCTTGCGATATGACTCTTTAAGTTATCATCGTATTCTACGATCCGGGAATGTTTACGGTGTTCTTGTGTTACTGAGTTTTGCTGTATGTTATCGTTTTCATCAGTTACGCCGTGACGTTGTTTCTTATGTCTTCCTTTCCAGTCGCGTCGTGGCGCTGACGGAACTCATTCTGGACCGGGGTCTGGCGTTTAACCTGGTGGCGACCCGCGGACACCCGTGTTCGAGCCGACCGATCCGACCTGACCTGTACACCGCCCTCAGGGTGATGGTGTGGCCCCGACAGCCCGAGTTCCGTGAGTGATTAGTGCAGCAAATTGTGCGGTGTTAGTAAGGGCGAATTGTCCGTTTGTTTCCATTTTGTCCATTTTTTCGCGTCTTTTCATTTTTTTTTCGATAATGTACCTATTGTTGCTACTGCCTGGCAAGGTATAACAATGTTTTCGATTTGATATTGTTCGTTTCGTCATGTATGTATTCTCAGCTTGTGTATGATATGTGTCCCGTTTTTAACTGAATGTCAATGTTGTTTCAGCTCAACTGCCCCGGGAACATTTCCAGCTGGCTTCCTGCGAAATGATGGGACACATCGCAGTTACTTGTAAGTTCTTTTCTCCATCACACAGTCTTACCCCTAAGGGCGTGCTCTTATGTCGACTTTACCCACATTTTTACCGTGAGCATTATTAGCGCGCCCGCTCGTCTCTTTATACTTCCGTCCGTTTTCATCTTCCCTACTATTCTATCAATCTACATATCTATTTATATAGCTCCACGCTCTCCCACACAACTGACCGCTCCCCTTCCCTCGACAGCGGCGGAGGCGCTGGACGTCCTCACTGAGAGCTCCATCGTGGAGAGCCTCCGGTCCGTCACTGAGGCGGCCTTTGACCGGGTTCGGTCGCAGGTGGTCGCAGAGGCCCTGCCCAAAACCAGTGCGGAGTCGACCGGCAGCTGAGTGGAACCCGGGGGTATTGGTAGGGTGATTGGCGAGTCTATTTGAAGGTGAAGAAGGGTGGGGATGCTTACTTTTTGTTTATTGTTGTTTTACGTGCGACTGGTCTGTCTGTTAAGTACCGACGTCTGTCGCACCCAGCAGTGTGAGTGATGAGGTGACTGGCTCGATTACTATCATAGGACGGGTGGTGGGGTAGAGATATTACGGGCCAGGGCTGACCATGCCGTCCGCATGTTGAAGCTCAAGGACAGATCAGTATTCGGAGCGGGTTTGTTGTCCACTCTCAGGGATGAGGTAGCAGCTGAGTTAGGCCCCTTGGAAGCTAATGTTGTATCGCCTTGAGTCACATGCGTGAATTATTATACGACACATTTCCGGATTATGTTGTCGGTTTTATGGGTGATATCATTGCATCTGCTTTTAGCTTTAAGATGGACAATGTTTTCTTTATTTGATCGGCCCAGGTTCATATTAAGCCATAAGTGCCTCGCTTGGTTGTGAAACTTGACCCGCTTGTGTATAAATTGTTTTTGGAATAGTCTATTTTACCTGCATATCGTATTTATTTGTTAATTTATTGGTTAATTTATGACGATTTCCTTATAGTCACTAGTGGCAACGTCGATGAAAAGAGCCCGTAAATACACTTATGCGGATTATCGCTATCCTTTTCGGTTAAAAGTGATAAAATTATCAAGGATTCAGCTGACCCATTGCTTTATCCACAAGCTGTTTGCATAGAAAAGGTAGGTGGCGTACAGGCCATTCCGAGCGGCGCGGTGGGACAATGACGATGGTGGAGCTTGACATGTATAAGAGTTACATAAAAAGAAAATAATCGGAAAATTTCGGCCAGGGAACAGGGAATGTTTGGAGTACGTACCCCTGGCCGTTCCCGTCCCTCTAGCAGCGCCTGCGGCCCTCCGAGAGACCGAGTTTACAACCGACCTACCTTGATTAAGTATCGGTTTTAATAAGACGCCAATTCAGCCATGTACCCAGACGAACTGATGCACAGTCGATATAAACTTTTGCCGATAAACTTGTGTTTAGTTTTATTTTGACATTCATCATTGCTCGAGTTTTGCAACAAGTTCACACGAGGTAACTGGAAACACGATTTTAGGTATAGGTACCTTAGGTAAGTGCCTGATTCTCTATGACGAACGGCGTCTCACACTCGTTAACACTGGCATCCAACTGACTGGCAGGGGAGGGGTCACATTTACATCAAGTAAAACATTACAAATATGCGCAAATAGTAAATACACACGTGTAATTGTAGTGTTCACGTTTGAAAACTACTGACGCATGCATTCACTGTGCATTCATAGGTACACGAATAAGATCCAGCAGCTGTCTCCGACATACAACTGCTGAGGGTTAGTGTCGCGTTGTCACAATAAAACTCCGACATATACCTACACTCAGTTATACTCGTCCTATTCAGTGTATTCACGGCACACACATAAGACTATCGCCTTTATTTAGAGCAGCGATCATGACTGGCCACCACACACCCGACAATAGTTAAAATCAGTTATTCTTGCGCTCACTCATCCTAAGCATCCTGCTCCAACATTCCATTAGACATTAAAGCTGACAGATAATGACATGACATACCGGTCGTAGCGCTCTATTCCAACCAAACATTGACCGTAGTTGTTTTGTCACCGCATCCCATCTCCTCTCGGACCTCTTGAGACCGTTTGTAGGTAATAAGAATACCCCTGGCCGGGGACCGACATTGCAATGTCGACAGCGCTCAGGACCAGTCCCAGTTTTGGCGACTCACCCAAGCTGTGATAGTTTTGGGGTGTAGAAGCTGAGGTTCCAGCTCAGATCCAACTCCCTGCGTTCTTTGCGTTCCAAAAAGCGCAGCCTTCGATCGTCCGGCTCCTGAGCTGTTCAGATCCAAAGCGTTTCACTTTTCCATCCCATCGAACCCTCCTGCTATTTATAATATACGTATTCAAGTTAAGCCTGCCTATCCTCCCTCCGAACAGCCAGTCTTCCTCCAAATAGACAGCCTGCCTACCCTCCCTCAGAACAGGCAGCCGATGCCCGCCACCGGCTGCTCGGGGGGCGCTGTGGCGTCCGCGGCGCCCCGCTGCAGGATGGCCGAGGTCATCTGGGCGGCGTCGCTGAGCAGGCGGGCGCTGTGCTCCTGCGCGCGCGCCCGCAGCGCTGCGATACTGCTGCTGCGGAAGTCGGGCCCGGCGGGCGGCTCGGACTCGGCGGCGCCCGGCGGCGGCGGCAGGCACAGCTCGGCCGACGGCCGCTCGTCACCGCTGCCCGGCAGACTGCCCGTGTCGTCGTCGGCGACGTTTTTCAGCTGCTCGGCGGCCTCCATGGACTTGCGGTGCATGCCTGGAGACAGAGGAGGAGCTGAGCGGCCTGTGCTTTGGAGGTTGAAGTGTCGTTATCTATTACTTACGTGAACCTGGTGGCTATTTCGCTTGAACACTCGAGAGTTAGAAATTGATCGAATTGCCTCAGAAAGAGGCACTTTTGGACTCCGGTCATCCGTTTATTGACAGCGGCCGAGAAAGGGCCGAGAAAATTTAACACCTGAATGTATATGAAAACGGACATAATGAGGGCCCCACCCCTCCCCTCAACATTCTTTCTCTCCCGTCGCCCGGCGTACCGAGCAGCCAGGGCGCCGGACAGTCCTTGTCCTCGCTGACCGACTTGGTGATGGTCTCGGGCAGCGGCAGTGAGTGGCGCACCATGGCACCGTACAGACCGTACTCGGCCATTATCGTGGAGCGTCCCCACGTCTTCTCCGTCTTCCGCCACTTGGCGCGCCGGTTCTGGAACCACACCTGAGGACAGAGAGGGGAGGGCGTCAGCGGCTGATTGTGCGCGAAAATACTTTGAAGAAGAGCACCACGTAAAAGATATGTATATGTGTGCAGGATAGTTAATGACACTGCCTGTGCTCTGCGCCTTTCTGTTTGTACGTGTATTTTGACACTGTCGTCAAATCCCTCTCCCTAATGAGAAACAAACAGGACAAGGGCGTCGCTGCTGCCGCCGCCGCTCGCAAAGCCCGGGTGCCTCGTGCGGCGTCACATCTCCACCTCCTAGCGGACCGCCCGTCGCTGGAACGTGCCGCGTGACACGTGCGGCCACGACGGCACGTGGCGCCGATAATGGCGTCCCACGGCGGCCGACACGTCGCGCGTCTCCGAGCGGCTGAAAACAGGGTCTCGTTAGGGGCACTAACGACTCACTGATCCTGTGTCCCGGCGCGCCGGCAGGCGGCCCGTGCCGATATGTGGCCTCGTTACCAGTAATCAGTGTATCGCGCGTGATCCGTCGGAAGAGACGCCGAGAGGAGGTGCGGAGTGACAGCGTCTCGCTCGGCAGTAACTTTATTATTGAGGTCAATGGGCGATTTTATTATATAACTAACACCAGTTAACACGTCTTGTCCAATTTTATGCTACCACTTCGCCATAATGAGGTAATTCGCACCGCAAGCAAGTCCTGATTTAGTTGAAGTGTATTTTGTTTATTGGCTTTAATGAAAAACTTTCTTATTCATATATTGCAAGTACAGACACAAATATAACCTGTAATACCTAACTTAGATAATGAATTTTGCCCACAATATATCGCGTAAGCAGGATGACACCGTCAGCTATAGGAAACGCGTTGCATCTTCCCTTTTATACCAGCACCACTCCTTCCTGCGTAGCCTACTAACCCCTTTGCCTTCCCTTCCCAACGGTTAGAACAGGCCTCCATCGAACACTGACCATTATTGGTGGCAATTCCCTAACTGGCTCCACTCCGAGGAACTCGCCAATGGATTGACTGGCGGTAGGACCCGGCCCGCGTCCCTCTCGTTCTGAACAGGGAGCGGGGATGATCCGATTACTATTGAGACGTTCCGGCCCGGCGGACCGATGTCCTCACCACACGGTGGACAGCTGGTGGGTCGTGGGAAGACCGCCGACATATTGTCAGTGGGTGACTGTGCCGCAGAGCATGCTGAACAGTGAAAAGCCTGTTTTTGGAGAGGATGGCTTGAGATTATCGTCATCGTGAGACGATCTTGAGCCATTGCGCCCTAAAACTAATGTAATCCTTATCGATCAGCATCGTCTAGCATCACTACACCGGCCATTTTCTACCTTTCAATAATGTTTTACGCTGAGCAATATTCAAGCGAGAGAACCGAAATACTTCTGTCAGACAAGTGATGAATTCAACGACCAATCTTCTTGAACCAGTAACTGTGCCCATGATGTGTGCTAGCAGTCGGGTCGCAATAAAACACCAATAATAATGCCTCAATATCAGCCTGACCCTTGATCCTCTCGAAGGGATCCATTCGGAGCCTGACATGCCTTACGTACTCTCCATTTCCCGCACATCGGAGGCGCTTTACAACGTTTCCAGTCACCAGCCCCTAGCCCCTGGCGCCGAAGCGGTTTTGGCACCAGGGCGCGGCGCGGCGCGGCGGAAACCCCGCAGAGTAACGGCGGCTAATTGTTATTGGATTGCCTTGTGGACTGTCCCCGGGGGCGAGGGGCGGAGATCGGCCCCCTCTCAGTGCTGACTGCTGACGCCGGGAATCGCTATCACTGGGTGACCACGGCTGCTTGCTCTGAAGTGCGAACAGACATGCTCAGTTGTAGACAGGAGAGAAACATCGTTTTGGTTGGACATATGTTTGTCGGAACACAAAACTGAACATACTCCGAAACAGGGCATTTTCAAATGGATCTAGGTGGTTTTTGCCAGGCACAATTTTTCCGGAAAATAGTATCGCTACCCAACGGATGCCGGTAGGTATAATTACATGCATATATAAGCCCATTAAAGGGACTATCCCACCTTCTAAAATGTTGTTAAAACCAGTTAAATTGTGCCCGACTTTATAGATTGGATGACCAGGAACACGGTTCTGGCATTTATTTTTCATTAAACATCTTAGGCTTCCCATATTCCAAACACAAACTTTCAAATATGTGACGTCACAGGCCAGCCCAAAATTACCTCCTTCCCCAGGCCACATTACCTACTGTCATAAAGCTGATTCTTTTTACTCTGTAGGCACCACAACAAAGTTCAGACCAAGTTTTAAGCGATTTTTCAACGAACAAACCCATTTAAATCAGAATGACTAAACGAGGTGACGTCACACTAACGGTCGCTCCATGTTGAAGATAGGGCCTTGCGCAGTGAAGAGTGTTGTTACCCAACTCAGAATAATTGTAATGTGCCATCGATTGTACCTTTTACCGCAACCGTCCCTGTCGATACCTATGTTAGAAGGCTTGCCTGAGTTACTACATAATAGTCTTCCATTTAGAGAAAAATATCTATCAGTAATCAAAATCGTTAGGTATGCTGGTTCTGTTGCTCACCCCTTATCTACAGGCTACAGCATCGGCGCGGCACACGTCTTGGTGATTCCTGCTCTGTTCCTCCTGTTTCGTTTTTTAGCCGTCAACCTTGAAATTTACCACTTTCCTAACAACTCAACAGGAAAAAATGGAACGCGATATTTGGGAAAAATGTGTGTTTCCGAAAAGTTTTATTTCTTCTTAAGCAGTTTGAACAAAAATAGAAGTCATTTCTCATTTGAAACTACCCCAATTATCACGATATGATAGTGCCCAATATTGGCAATGTAGGTGGCAGCACCGTCGACTGCGACTTTTTCGCTGTAACTTCGACCTGCCCGAGCCTCGTCAAATCGCATTTTTACGCAAAACCAACTGCAGGGCTAGTGTTTTGGCATGCTCGCGCCAGTTTATATCTTTGTCCAGGGGCGTCGACACCGGTCCGACTTTTCCGACTAGTCGGACCACTTTTTCGACTAGGCGGTGCCCTGCTGTGGCTCGCGGGGGCCCCTGCTGCAGACCGCGGGGGCCCTACTGCGGCTTGGGGGGCCCTGCTAGAGACCGCGGGGGCCCTGCTGCGCCTCGGGGGCCCTGCTAGACACCGCGGGGCCCTGCTGCGGCCCGCGGGGTCCCCTTCTGCGGCCGCGGGGGGCCCCTGTTGGGGCTCTCGGGGGGCCCTGCTGCGGCCACGGGGGCCCCTGCTGCGGCAACGGGGGCCCCTGCTGCGGCAACGGGGGCCCCCGCTGCGGCAACGGGGGCCCCCGCTGCGCCTCGCGGGGGCCCTGCTGCGCCTTCGCGGGGCCCTTCGCGGGGGGCCCCCCACCGGTGGGGGCCCCCCGAGAAAAAGTCGGACCAGTTTTCCTTACGCGTCGACGCCCCTGTCTTTGTCTAACGCGAATCTGCGACTATCGACACACCCTATTGCGCAAGGCCCATTTTCAAATGAAGGGAACGAATTTCTTCAACACCAAGAGGCCGCGGGGGTTGCAACCTAGATACCTAGATAGTGGTTTCTGAACCTCGCCGCAAACTTGGCTATCTCAACTCAAACCCCATGTTAAAGGTGGGATAGTCCCTTTAACACAGAAGACGGTCTTTACCTAAAAGTTCGTTACTTAGGCACATTTTTTAGGCAATTATCTTGAAGGTAATTAAGTTTTCCCTTTTACCAACTATCCATCTGCCTATAGCCTTGCATCTATAGAGAGTTGGGACTCGTCTAGTCAGCAAATGATATCATGACAATCGGAAAGGACAGTTCATTCAGATTATCCGACAGACAAACCACAATCACTCGGGTCAGACCACGATAAATCACCGCGCTGGTAGTGATTGGCAGGAGTAGGACCATCGGCTTCCTCCCGGTCTATGGGTCCTGTGTAACCGGCGATGAGCGTGTAACGTGATTAGCGGTTTGTCACGGCTCGTTACGGGCGGGCCAACGCTATAGGTGGGCCCATTTGGTAAACGGTGGATGAGATGTCGGGAGGATGGATGTACCGACCAAGTGAGCGTGGCGGGACTCGGCTTTATTGGGGATCCTCCCTGTCTAAGTCTGATGGATGCTTAGAAGGTACGCCCTCAGGGCTCATGAGCTAGATGTTCGGCGCCCATTCATCCATGCATTCATTCATTCAATCTATAACTTACGTTTGATCCACAGCTTTGAAGAGGTTTCTGGCTAATTGAACCAAACAAAGCACCTGGCTGGGGGACAGCGTGGAAAATCGTGGAAGAAAGAGCTGGAAAAGTTATTTTGGTGAAGACTTCAACACGATTTTCCACATTAGAAGCATATCATGAATATGTGGAAAATTAGAAAATTAGAATTAGAAGCATATCATACCGTTCACACCTGGGTACCTAGAGTGTGGGCCCAAAGGGCTGCCGTGTCAGTTTAGGCGTAAGCCATTATCTTGCAATGTCATTGCAATGCCCATTGCAATGCCCATTAGGAGTTTATTTCGTAAATTCAGGCCACAATAAGGTTCATTTTTAAAATCGTCCGATCAATGTAACAGATGAATGGCCCGGTCAGCGCCGGTGCCCACTCCCATCATGTGCATATGCATGCATGCATGCCGGAGGTATGCACACAGACAGGAGCGCTGTCAGTTTCGCGTGTTGTCGCTGTTTGCACGGTAAATAGCCGCCGGGGAGGGCCGGGCCACTTCATTAGGCTGAGCACTTTGACGGGTGGCAGAGGGGGAGGGAAGGGTAGAGTGCCGGTGTACGGTACCGCTGTGGCTGTCCCCCGCCGCCGTCTGTAAAGACGTCAGAAATAAGGAGGGACAGCTAAAAGGTCGTCGCTTCAATCTAGGCTTATGATATAGACTTGCCTTACCGACCACAATGTGTAGAAGAGCAAATCTCTCTCTCTCCTCTCTCTCTCTCTCTCTCTCTCTCTCTCTCTCTCTCTCTCTCTCTCTCTCTCTCTCTCTCTCTCTCTCTCTCCCCCTCTCTCT